CCAAAAACCCTAGCAAAAACCGGCCCCGCCACAGAGGGCCTCCCCAGAACTCCCCTTGACCTGTGCACAGTGTGGCCCTCATCACGTAGTGTTTCCTTTCCCTTCATTGATGACCTGGGCACTCCGCCCACACGGCGTCCGTACTTGTGGAAAAAAAGACCTGTGCACAGTGTGGTCACTTTATGGCCTATACATGTGTAAGCATTTCTGGCCCTACCCTGTCCCGAACACCACTGGGCTCAGTCTTTCTTTCCTTGCCGAAGGGGCAATAGCGCTATCAGTGACGCTTAGCGGAGGTGCGCTGTTTGCTAGTTGAAAACTACTCCAATTCCCGTCAAGTTTGATCGTCAAGGTCATTCTTGCAATTTTTACGCATGCAGTTTCGTCCTGGACGTCCTGTACTGAGAGCAGCTTGAAAGGAATTCATCGCCCCGTTTCACTTCTGTGTTTGGTCTTCGGATCTGCACCTTTTGCTTTTTAAGACTAGAGCGGACATGAGCCTGATCTGCTTGGTTTCTGTGGTTGGTTTGTGTGTGTTTTGGGTTGTTTTGTGGGTGTTTTGGTGTTTTTGGTTCCTTTGCTTCCTTTGGTCAGGCTCATTTCCTCGCACCCCTCATGTGAATTCAACACGGTGACTTGTGCCTCTCGGCACACATAGCGCCCTTACCCGTGCAAAAAAAAAAAGACAAAATAATTTCATTTCAACTTTCTTTTTTAGAAACCAACTTTTTTTGGAGATAATAAACCATGTTGCCACAGTGTACATGTGTCAAAGTATGATAATCAACTCTGGGTCTTGGTCCTTCTGGCTCAAGCAAAAGCTACCCAGCTGGAGCGCAAGTTGGCCAGAGATGGCCCCAAAGCAACGGGGGTCCTCCAGGTCAACCTTGCGACCAAGATATATCTGGGTGCCCAAATTTGGCTCGGTGCCAGAAGAGTCAGAGCAAGACCAGAATCCTACCCAAACTTGGGCGGATCCCTGGTTGACTGATGGTCCTACCCAATCCTGGCCGGACTCATGTCCCTGGCCGGATTCAAGCGATTATCCTAGCCAGGAAAATAACCAAGCGGGAAGCGGGGTCTAGCCAAGATGCGCCAGGGACTGAGGCTCCGCCATGGTCAGGCCCAGGGCCAGAGCCAAGCAAGTCGAATCACAACGATTCAGTTTCAATGTTTCAATGTTTCACGTTTCTTCCCAAGCCTCCTGGAGTCCAATTGGGCGGCCACAAATGCAGGTTTAAGGCGGTTGCGCGCGGTGTCGGGCTCTGGCAGGGCTTGTCCTCAACGAGGAGAGGACCTAATGGATTTTCAAGCCATAGATTTCACTTTTCCTTCTCAGATCCCAAGGCAGCTGAAAACGGATTGCAACCCCTATTCAGTTTCAATGTTTCATGCGACGAATGGTTGTTCATCATAAAAGTACTTTAGTTTCAGAGCAATTATTGTTTGACTTGTCATGACATTCACACAATCATATGATTGAAATCGGAGACATGCATCATCATGGCACCATGATGGCGCAAATTCGAACAAGCCACACTAGGGTCTAAGAAGACCTTGAACAGCTCATTGGGAGCATTGTGGAGGACATAACCATAATTGGCAGCTCAGACGAGGATGGCTCCGATATTGAGATGATGGAGGCGCCAAAAAGCTCACCTCCGCGACCACCAAGGCCTGGTTCCGGGCACATAATGATGCAGTGATGTGGATGATATATCATTTTGTGGGAACCGGTTAGGGTGATAAATCTATTTTACAAGACCTTCAAGTATATTCAAAAGCGCAAGTTTTGGGACACTGAATCATTTCATATCAAAGCCGACTCATCCGCTAGGCAGCTGCAAATATCCGTATCGGATCCAGGGCCTGCTCCTTGGGAAGGCGCCTTGCAAGCCAGTTCAAGTTTGTGTGACTTGGTCAAGAAGAAGGCGCCAACCAGATTCAGTGCCTTCCCCACCACTTCATGGAGTTTTATTCACCTCCACGGGTGGCGCTGCCGCTACGAAGAACTGGCTTCTTCGCGCGGTACAGTTTTGATTTGATGACTGGCTACGATTTCTTGAAGTTTGAAGATCGCGCCAGAGCACTGAGATTGTATGAGACGCATGCACCTTTTTTCGTCATGCTATCTCCGCCATGCACTATGTTCAGCAAAATGCAAAACCTAAATTTGAAAAAATGCAGCCGCAGATTCGCAAACAGAGGTTTGCAGATGCCAACTGCATGCTGGATTTTGCCATGCATATTGCCGATCGGCAGCTGAGAGGCAACCGTTTCTTCTGTCATGAACATCCACCGGGCGCATCCAGTTGGCGCAGAGCATCAATAGCCGAACTTGCAAACAAACCCAATGTGTTCCTGGTTTCTTTTGACCAGTGTCGAACTGGTCTGAGGACTCCTTCCGGCTTGAAACCTATCAAAAAAGGACGGTTCTGATGACCAACAGCCGGGAGATCCACAACATCTTTTCTCCCCTCCAGTGCAATTGCACCGAGGAGCACGCAGTGATCCAAGGCTCCGAATCGGGTCTTCAACTCTCTTCATGGTGCCAAGTGTATTCCCCGGAATTGGTGGACCACCTGGCAGACGCTGTGCGGTTGGAGTGAGGGGGGTCACTTTTCGACCCCCTCAGTTAGTCACGTTTCGTTTGAAACGCGACGATCTCTTGATCTAGGTTATACAAACGCGACGATCTAAGGTTTCATTTTTCGACCCCCCCAGTTAGTCACGATCCAGGGTTTGGGCTGGGAGTTAGTCACGTTTCGTTTGAAACGCGACGATCTGGGGGGGTCACTCTTCGACCCCCCCAGTTAGTCGCAAAATGGGTTTTTAACGTTGAGTTAGAATTCTGGTGGCTTTCCCAAAGCTTGGGCTCGGTAAGGAGACCGGGTAGTCAAGAAGCATGGCATGGTGTCAGGCAAGCCAACAGAAAAAGTCCAATAGTAACAAGTTAGGCTAGGCACATTCCCCGGCAGGGTTGGTCGCCCAGACGCCATGGATGTGAAGGAAGAGATGAAAGAGGACCCAGAGAATAACAAGAAATCAGAGCCCGAGGCTCCAGAGGACGTGGCCATGAAACCATCTACTATCCCCCGGACATCAGGCCCCTCACCCACCTGCAGCATCAATGGCAATCACTGAAGCTAACTTCAAGGAAGTCGCTTGGACAGCCATGAACTTCCACCTCGAGGCTTGTGGAGGTCCAGAGCAAGATGCGCGAACTGGGCAGCCCAGGAAACTTGAAATGGAAAGATTTCGCTGAGCAGCTTCAGGTGGCCTTTCCCAGGCGGACCGATTTGTCCTACCTGGAGAGCCTTGAGTTGCCTCGGGGCCACGACCCGAGTGAGACGTTTCGGGTGTCTTTGTGGCAACTGGGCTTTGTGGAGTGCTGCAGCTCCAAGCCTATGACGGCAGCGGCCCTGGCAGACGAGTATTTAACGAACACTTGTCTGACTGCACAGGAGCCTTTGCTTCTGTATCAGCAGCCCCTTGACCTGCCCTCGGAGTTCAAATACTCTGAGGAGCTTGAGGCGGGGGCGTTGTTTTGGACCCACTAGCTGAAAGGGGCTGCTCGTGCTACCAGCATGCTGATGCTGGCGCACGTTATTTTGAATGAGTTGAAAGTCGATGTGCAGCTTTTGAATCCAAGCTTGCACCAATCCTTGCTAGCAGTGTATTGCCGACTTGGCACTGCCGCAAGTGATTCAGCAACCATCGCCATGGAGAACGCACGGTTGTCCGCTCGCGGAGTAATCCGTAAGGCCCATGACGTCATCACATGGGCGGGCAAGCTGCATACCCTTAAATTGCAAGGACTGCAGCCAGCCGAAAATCATCAAAAAATACAACGAAAGTGCCACGAAGGACTCGGCCATCCAGGGGGCCAAAAGGATGGGCCTGGTGGCACTCTTGGATTTACCCGAGCAGTGCCTATCCTTGTTGCTACAGCACGTATCCGAATTTGGATTTGATGGCTGCGCATTCAATGAGACCGCTTTTAGCAACAAGAAGCCCATGCCTGGCTTTCAGCCGCGTGCAAACAGCGACCGAGCATGGCAGAAAAGGCTAGCGGCAACATCCGAAGGCTACGAATTGCTGGTCCGCTACGTGCATTGTTCACACGCGCGCAAACCCAGTGCATTTCGCTCCAAATTGGACACGGCTGCAATGACCGAGGCAACGCAAATGAGTCAGCTCTTGATTTCATGTTTGCAGGAAATCCAAGACCAGCACGCTTTGCCCGGGGGAGCGAAAGACAAAATCCTACAAGACTTCGTGGATGGAGACAACAACCTGGAGCTGGAATTACAAGGCGCCATCTCAGAATTGAAAAAGGGATGGCAGCCTGCTGAGCTGACACCTTTCAGAGAGCTTATCGCTACTTGCATAGCCAACCGCGATGGCAAATTGGAAGCGCTGGGGAAAGGCCGCTGGGCAGCTTGAAAACAGGCTTTTGAAGTGCTATACTATCATCTTTGCAGCGTGGCGTAGACATTTATGCAGTCTGGAAGGCCAAGTGCCTGGATCGTGACTCGGTGGTTCACTTTCAACGCCTAAGTCACACATCAGCCAGGCACACTCGAGCCCGAGAGATCGCAGACTCAGTGATCTCAGAGGATCGTGGGCTTGGGTGGCAAACCTCCCTGAAGAAGTTCGAAAGTGTGGACGCCACATCGCAATGTGGAACGAAGCCTGCAACTGGTTTTGCAAAGGAGAGCGGCGATCTGGATCCAGCACATGAGTCCAGACACCTACCTTCTTAAGTGGCCACCTCAGAATACCATGAGGCGCCAGTCAGGGCTACCTCGGATTGGAGGCGCCACATGACAGCCAGACCGAGGCCCACGGCAGGTCAAGGAAAAAAGTGGCTTAGCGCGGGGGCGGGTCAGGGACCTGGGAGGTTAAGTTTTTGTGTTCTCACAAAATTTAAATAGAAAAAAAAGTCGATTTCAAAAAAAAAAGTCGAAATGAAAAAAATACACCTTAAAAAACCACTGTCGGTCTTGGCGGCACTATCAGATGGCCTCGACAATCCCATCCAAATGCGCTCACCCCTGCTGGGCGAGAGCGAACCCCATGGCTCACTAGTTGGGCTAGGGCCACTTTCGAACAGGGGATCCTGTCAGTGATCCCAATGTTTGAAGGGCCATGCACTGCCACATCACTGTGAGGGGAACATCTCTTCCAGGCCAGTGCATTGCCACGCAATCGCGACCAGCCATCTTTCATGCCTTCGGTAAGGCCAAAGTAGGAGCACAAGATGCCTTGCATGACCTGGAGAGGCAGGGCTGGGAAACGCTGCCGATTGCCATCTTAGGCATGCCTAATCTACCCCCAGCATGGGCCGTCGACACCTGGAGGCCAGTCGGTGGGTGCAAATTCACGGGCTACTTCTCAGGGACTGTCGGCAACAGTGCTCTGCGATTTTGCCTCTTGTGGCGAGCGATTCGTCCACAAGCTTCCGACCTTGTTCCAGCACAGGTGCAGGGTGACAGCCTTAGCTGTTGTCCAGCAGAAGGGGATACTGCTGACCTAGAGTCAGTATCCACGCCCTCGTCAAACAACTCTGCCAACAGAGCAAATCAGCTCACTCAAGCCATCGAACTATTGTCACCCCCACTTTTTGTGCCCTGGAGCCAGGTAGCTAGTTTACGAGGAGTTGTCGGCGTGCGCAAGGACATCGAGGCGTGCCCATATGAAGAATTGAAAGCAGCCATGGATCACCCCACGTGTCTAATTCCGGGAGAAAAAGACCTGTTTCTGGATGCCAATGATGAATTGCTATGCCAACTCAAGGATTTGGTAATGCCATTGGAAAGCATTGCGCCACAAGTGTTTCAAGCCATTTATCAAAGGCAGCAAGCTGAAATCTCGTGGATTACCCTCCTGTGGACGGTGGCTCGACTAAACAAATACTGGATACTGGATAGGATATGATGCCCCATCACTGCCCCCAGTCTTCCAAATTAAGGGGGCGGGGCGCTCGAGGGTGACATCCCACCACACTTTCACTGCACATGTCCGCCAATCGGAGAAAGTCAGGTCTATGGACCGTCGCTCTCCCCAGCAGACGTTGTCAAAGATAAGAGTTTTGCCGTTGCCTCAGGATGCTCTACGGGTGTGCACGAGGTTGCCACCCTTTTTTCGCTCACGCAAGACCCTTGCCAGAAATGGGAAGCCCTAGGGTTGGGTAAGGCAGCTCTGCTGTACCAACGCACACAACAAGTGCTGAAGGCAGCCCGCCTCCTTCCAGCTCACAGAAGGCTGCCGCACAAAGCTTTCCTCAGTGGTCTCTGGTGGAAGCTACTCTCACTGCAACCGCTACAATTGGTTGCCTACTTGCCTATGCTCAGTTGTCTCCGCCCGACTGCGCAAGCCGACCCGATTCACTTCACAGTGAATGGCTTTAGTGCAGGCAGTTACACTGGAGCAGTGATTGCCTTAGCAATTCGCTGCCTCTGGCCAGTTAGTCAGATCACCGCACGACTGGGTGCCATAGCCATGCCAAAAAGGGGTGTTAGCGGCTTTAATTGCCACTGCGGAACCGGACAGGCACCACTACTACCTCGTCCATGCTGCAGAAGACTGCTTGTGCGATTGGAAGCCAACTGCCACCGAACTTGACATGCTTCAGCAATCCCTGCACATCACGTATGTAGAAGATTCTGCACGTTGGATGGGTAGTAGTAAACACAACTACTGGCACTGGCTCCATTGTCAGCTCCCTAAAGGAAAAGTTAGTCTAGCTGACCTGAAGCTTACGCACCCCAATGTCATTCCCAGACGTGATAGAATCGCTGCGCCAATGCGGCTGGCCTCCTGGATTCGATTTGAAACCACCATGACAAGCGAGGACTGGGAAGGTGCTATCAGCCTGCTGGTGTCCAATCTCCACCGGTCAGACAAAGACCTTCTCCAATTACTCCAGAGCTGCGTGGCAGGACAGCAAATAGCCTCCATGGAGGAAGCACAGGCTCTTCTACTGAAAAATTTCAGAGTAGGCAAAGACAAGCCAAGTGCGTGTGCACAATGGCTGACGGAAATGGCCAGGGATCTACTGGCACCGATCCCGTTCCGTGAAGTGTTTGTCATCCTGGCCCTCGTTCTCCCACAACTTACCTTTGTGGATGGAGTGAGGTGGGGGGTGAGGTAGGGAACGAAATATGAAGTTGTGGAGGGAGTGAGGGCAGGGAGGTATGGAGTGAGGTAAGGAGGGAGGTAGGCACTGAATTAAAAATAGTGAGGTAGGGAATGAAGTATGGAGTGAGGTATGGAGTCAGGGAGTCCAAGAAGGGTTTACACTACCCGCGGCATCAGCTGAATCCAATTGTCGGGATGCAGGTGGTGTCCAAACTCCCTTGCTGCGGTTGCTTGCCCTCTGGTATGGATTTTGCACGGTTTCAGCATTTCTTGTGACAATCACACCAGTCTCGACAACATGAGCCGTCAGCAACCCAGAGCGATCGAAACTCCAATGTTCCAACCAAAGTTTGGCCACCACCCCGGGCACAAACGCGAACGATTTTGGATGAACTCCTGCTATGGGGCAGTGGCCGATCCTGCCATAATTACACCAAATGTCGGTTGTGCATTCGCGCAGCTAAGGTTGACATGCGCAAACCGGCAGTCTACCACATGAAGGCGTCGAAGCTCGCTCGTGCTTCTTATAACCCGTTGGCCCGCCAAACCGTGGCCAGGCACTTTGACCCTGGTACTGTTGCACCCCGTCAGTGTTCACAACCATTGGTGGCAGCATTGTGCCACCGCAAGAGAGTCTACGCGCAATATGTCGTTCACGAGTTGGGGCTGCCAGCGGCAGACTGCAAGACCACGCTCACTTCTGCACCCCGAAATGTCCACTTGGTTGGCGGCACGTGTGAGTGGTCAAAAAAATGCACTCTGGCGGTGGGGTTGATAGCTACTCTCAGCATGAGGCCGTGTTCTATCACCAAAATCGGTGCTCGCAAGTTGCATTACTTGTCGCTTGTTGCAGCAGTCATGTCCCTGTTGGACAAGTACGAAAGGAAAATAGCAAACGGTTTTTCTCAGCGTTGCGTCAATTTCTGCGCATGAGATTGCGAGCGTATGTTCATCCCGAATCTTTCCTTCCATGAAAAGGCTTGGCGCCGCGTGTTTCATATTGCGATGGCCGTCCGTTTCGGTCGTTTTTCAATGCGGAAAAAACGTATTTTCCAGCGTATTTTCTCTACACCTGATTTTCCAACATTTTCGTGGCTCACTGGGCATTGGCGCTCAAGGAGCCCGTGCAAGATCCCATGGCTTTTAAATGCTTTTAACATACCCCAATTTCATTGAGCTGAGTAGACTGCTCGGATGCAATCTGCACCTGGGGGAAACTGCGCTTGAAACAGCCTCACTCTAGAGCATTCACAGCAATGTCCGCTTGGAGGAACAGCATGCGCTGCGTTACTTATTTATCACACCAAGGAAAGCATCTAAAGAGTCCATGGGCCTGACCTCTCCTGCCGGATGTCGAACACAAGGTTGATCACCAAACCACGGCTGGTTGCGCCCTTCCTTCGGCTCCTCCGCTCATGTCCTGTGTCCTCCCAACCGCTCCCTGACTGAGTGGGTGGGCCGGCCTACGCGCCTTCCCGGCACAGGAGGATTTCTTTTGGAGCTTTGGGCCTCGGCACCTGGTCGTGTTCGTCGTCGCCGGTGCGCAGCTTAACCCCGTCGGCCTCAAAATCCCAAGTTACCCTGGTTGTGCATTAGGGTTTGCACTGCTACGCGCTTTGGTTGCGGCCACTTGGGGTGGCATGGTGCACGGTTGCAGGCTCTTGGTGCACGAGTCTTACCCTTCTAAGTTGCATCTTTTTTTTGTGTGATTTTGTCAGGCACCCATTCGTTGGTTTCAGTTTAGGTTTTTCTACACGAATTCGTTCCACATGTTGTTTCAAGTTTTCAACGCATTATACTTACACTATGCGCACGTTCTCGGACATGGAACCTGATCCGTCCACTCCCCTGATTCTTGGTTCGATTTGTTGAATCTGCCCTGCGTCAGCCTCAGCGACTTCAATTATCACCTGATGAGCATCCATCCGTTTCTTTTTGCCTCCATGAAGGCGGGTCGGTCAGCGAGTGTCATCGTTTTTTCACTGGGCTTATCCTTTCGGGCTTTGATGTGCGTTGGAGCTTGCGTTGTAGCTTTGTTCGTCCAAACTGTAGGTTTTTTCAACATAGGGCTGGTGCCCTTGGCTGATGTAATGGAATGCCGCAATGCCTCTCGTGCAAATAGTCTATAGGCCGGTAGGACCTTGAACGTAGTTTGTCCGGTCCAGGTGCTTGTTCTTACTTTTGTTTGTTGTGGCCTTGCTGTCCTGTTTTTCTATCAGTAGTACTTGTTGAGGTGATCTGTGCCAGTTGTTTGTTTGTTTGTTTGGTTGGTTGGTTGGTTGTTTGCTTGTTTGTTTGGTTGG